CAAAAGAGAACATGTCTGTTATATCAAACAAACAAGAAAAAAATAGGTTTCAGTTTTATATGTTATATACGTTACAATTTATAACAATAATCGCAGTAAGTACAATGCTCATACAATAACATCGACTTTTAAGATTACTTTGTGTCTATAACAATGAAACTACAAATAAACATATTTTTTGTGGAATGAGGTCAAACAGAGGTCGTCATGGTAGAAATAGTCCAGTATACAGGTCAATAAATATGTCATAAGCGAACAAGTTCGCTTACGTTAATCTAAAGAAACCTGTTACACAGCTGTGTAGCTCATTTGTTATATTTGATGTAATTCATATAATTATGGTTTTATAATACTGGTTCCTAGAAATATGATAACGTGGATAATCGAATCCCATTACACAGAAGATATCTATGTGTGGGTGAAACTAAATATTATCCGTAAAAATGTCTTCAAAAGCACCAAAATAACTACTTGAGTAAGCTATTTATCAGTCTGGTCACGTTCAGTGCTTACTCTTAGTATTACATTCATTTATTGGGTTATAAAACTTCAACTAAAAGAGAGTGTAAAAGACGAATAAAGGTCAGACTATACATGTGCTCTCACTCAACTAAATCACGTCAATTCAACACTATTTGGTCATAAAGTTTTTATCTCTATTACTTACAAAAATGTTTCTATGTACCTTAAATGTATATGTATGCTTCAACTAAGTACTATACATATATAGTGTTTACTAAATGTTTCTACGAAGTTTAAATGTATGTGTACTTCAGCTAATTACTATTTATATATATACTGTTTATTAACGTTTCTGCAAAGATTAAATGTATACGTGTACTTCAGCTAATTGTTATATATATATACAATGTTTATGAACTGTTTAAGCGAGATTTAAATGTATCTATGTACTTCAGCTAATTACTATATAGTGTTTATTAAATGTTTCTCTGACATCATTCAGTATAAGATGCATTAATCAATCAGTAATATTTTATTTTCTGTTAGTATATACACCAATTATAAAGTTACAAGTATATATGTAATATGCAAAAGCCAACAATGATATACAACAATGCATACATCTTATCTGATGTAATATGCAAAACTCAACAATGATATACATATATTTACACATCTTATCCGGTAGACAACCAAACAGCATGAAACCGTATAGACCACTAAATCCTTATATTCTTTTAACGTCTACATCTAACAGTCAGCCAAATATGTGACGCATAAGTGATACCCTAAGCTCCTTACAGTCTGTGATCCGTTGGTCGCCTAAAAATAGGTAAAGTCGAAAAGTTGTTTGTACGTACGTGTGTATGTGCATATATATATATATATATATAACCTCAAAGTTTTCTTTCAAGATAAAATTATTTGAATACAAATATCTCTCTTTTTGATTCCACCAACTTGATACTTCTAATATTCAACAGTGTTACTTTTAATTGTGTAGTGACGTCATTACAGTAATCTTGAACATTTTTCTCGTCCCTTAAGTTAAACGCAGATAGTTAGAATTTATTACGCCGTGTTCATTGTTAAATATAGTTTTGTCAGGAAGTACTAAAAACCGGTCACTATTCTAATGCAAGTATTACATTGTACTGAACAAAGATCTCGCACCTGAGAAAAAGGATCAAAATATTGCCGGTACAAAATCTCGGGAAAGAATTTAATACTAGTTCTTTCTGTACATATACATATATATTTAAACAAGTAGCGAATTTTCAGTTAGGCTACAGACTAAGACAGTACTAAAATGATTAGGTTAATAATTACCCAATGATATATATATAATGTATTTTTGTATTGAGAGTAATGTATTTTGTATATTTTTGGAATGAAATTTTTCACATATATTTTAACGGCTAGTCCAAGCGCACAGTTATATTCTGATAAACGATTTAGTCAAAGTTTTAATTCTTTTTAAATAAATTGTGAATTAACAATTTTTACTGATTTCACTTTTCTTATTCCAATAAAAATACGAAATAGCACTAAAAATAAAAAAATCCACTTTTGATTTACTTACAGTGTCTTGCATAAATACAAAATTGTTATTTTACATTTGACTTTGTAATCATGAAAAAAATGGGGAAAATGGAATGATTATACTAACTGCTGTGACAACTCAAGTGCAATGTTCTTTTCCTGGAACTCTTAATAATCAAAGTGTTCGCTACACAATAGTTGTTATTTGTATTTTCCTAGATGTAGAATAACAGTTCCAAGTGTTGAAAACTGCAGATCACTGTGATGAATTCATGACTTCATTCTGTGCTAACTTGTAACCAGTTTAAAAAACATATGGCTATAGACTGAATTCTGTTTCTGATTCAGCAGAAACCGAAGCAAGACTTTTTTCTGAACTAGGTCATGCTTATCTCCTCTATTTAATAAATTATTAACTCAGATGCATTTGTTACTTGTTGTACATTTATAAAATCATGAAATTACAAACCATTAAAACAACACATGACAACTGCTGACTTTGCACGAGTAACACTATTTATAGGACATATATTAGTTGTGATAGAAAGTTTTAAACACGCCTCTTTGTATAAAAGTACTTGTAAATAAATTTTACCAAATATATTTGACGAACTGTCAGCTTGTAACAAATTAATTTCATTTTGATAACAAACACCTAACGCCATCAACTGCAGCAAATAACAAACAAAATTAAATCCTAGGTGGCGTTTGTTTCTTGCAATTTAAAATTTTACAGATCACGTGTTTTGTAATAAATTCATTAAGACTATAGCTTTCATACTGACTACTGACGAGATCCATATTTACTTTTTGGCGTGTATAAATGACCTAATTTAACAGTCTGTTCCACACATTCATTAAAACATGATTCTTATATATTTTTACCTGCCTACTACTCCGAACAATAGCTACTTTAAATAAGTACAGAGGTAAGGATACTTGTGTATGCTCCAAATATTTCACTAACATGAACATTTAAGATGGTATTTTGGTATTCATTCAATCTGACTATTTCAAGCCTTACAGATACTCCCAATTTACAGGCCATTTTTATTCCATACATAATTTTTTCTGCTATTTTTGAAGATGCTTGCATGAATGCAATCTGGTGGCACAGAAGGCGAAAAACGTTTAAGACAATACTGCAACAATCAAGTTGATTAAGGAGAGATAAGTATCAACAGTTTCTAGATTTTTGAATAAAACAAGTACAAATACAATGATGAAAAATAGTGTACACATTTCTTTTAAAAGACAGTTATTTCAGGAAAATGGTTATAATAAAATGTAACGTCAAAAAGAAATCATTCGTACCCTGAAGCTCTTCGCAAGCTAGAACGTAACCACGTGTTATGTTGGAAATTTGAGTTGTGATGAGAACGTGTTCGTCCGCCACTTCCGGTGCTGCCGGCACTACTTGTACTACGAAAACTGTCAGAGCTAAAGAACACAGGTGAACATAAGTAAGTACGAGAAAAACATATTTTAATGAAAATATATACAATTACTAAAGTGTAATTTCATAATTACGAAGCATCAGATGAAATGTTCATAAATGTTTAGGATTACCTGACAACTCAGTATTTAAAGCTATAAATTGTTTGAACGCGTGTAACGTTTCCTTTTCTCGAATATCTTCAGTAGATTAAATTAAAATAAAACCAACAGCGAATATGTACAAACACATCCTCTTCATACACACATATTTTACGATACGAACAAAACAAAAAGTTTTCAATGAAACCACAGGCACTATCTGGTTGATATCATAGACTCCGGAACTAAAGCTTTTCTGAAACTTAAAATGACGTCATGGAATAGCATAGGAAACTTCCTGGTGAATAAATGTTGGATAAAGCTTTTGTCTGTCATCGGTGTTTCAAGTGCTCTGGATGATGAATAAACTTTATAATACGTCATGATACTATTTCAAGTTTTATTTTGATATGTTCCATAGAAAGTTGATGAATGCAATATTTTGTTTCTTACGTGTAACATGGACACATGTTTTAAACTTTCGATGCATTAAAATGGAAGATAATTGCGATCTAGAAATTATTTTAGTTTATCATCCCTTAAAACAACAACTTCTTGTAAACAAAGTTTCAAAACCATGTGGAGAGATTCACGCCTATTATCAAAGTATTAAACACATATATACGGTCAAAATGGTACCCAGTTTTATAGTTATTATACACAGAACTTGTGTAGAGGGTAAGTGAAGTTTTATCTTATAAGAAACTGTTAAACTAATTTATTAATGGAATTACACACTTGGAAGTTGGGTCATGATACATGCTAAAATGTAGATACATAATGTACTTAAGTTAGTGACCAAATAAATAAACTTGACTGACTATCTTTATCTCTAATTTTTCTTGAATAATTTTTAAAATTAAGAATAAATCTCATTAAAAAAAGTAATGAAGTGTTTTTTTCAATAGTAGGTTTTGCACTGACGTCAAAACGTCAGTGGTCTATTGTTTACTCCGCTATGTTGGGTGTAAAGTGCTTATATTCGTCTTAAGTGAAAAAATGACAGATTTTTGTTCTAATATCGTGCTATCTGACGCTGTAAATTACCTCAGCGATCTGTGTAAAGAAAAACATAGCTAGAAACTGAATAGTCGTAGAATATCCAATTCCTAAATTTTGCCAAAGTGATGTTTCCGCAATTGACTACATGTAATGCTTTACTTAATTTGACACCTGCCACACTAGCCAGCCCGGCATCTTGATGTGGATCAAAAATAAGGAAAAAAGTCATTTCGTTTGGATTGTTTTGATTAGACAAAAGGAAGACGTTTGGAACTATTTTTGGGCTCTCTAGGTGGCGCTGGACCAGACATGTGACCTGACTCGAGACCATGAGAACCAACGTGGAGAAGTTAACTTGTAAATGTAAAAGAAAAACGATGTAGTAATGAAACATGCTTGAAATGTTCTAGATGTGGTTGTGAATGTGATGGTTTAAGTGTAGCGGATTAAGCTAAACCGTGGGTCTAGGTTGGATGAGGGAAGAACTTATTCGAATATATCCCAATCGATTTTAAATACCAGCTAAATTGGAGATTCGTCAGGTGATTACTGTATTGACAGCAAAGCATAAAAAACGGGCACAGCAGTATCGTTATCATCAAAAAGGTGGATTGGAATAATATATAAGAAATCACTAATTTCAATATTTTGTGAAACTAACGGCATAGTAGAGCCAGAAGATGCAATGTTGAGGTTGAAGCAGATGCACGATTCATTACAAGATGATTTCTCTAGCAATTCTCAAATTAAAAACGCCATCTCTGCAATGAAGAGTAAATAGAAGAAGGGTGGTACTATGCCCAGTATGGTACCACCATAGTATAATCCATATAGACATCATCATGTCATATTTTCGTTAATATTTAGTTGTTGTTGTTTTTTTTTTTTTTTTGTTTTTTAAATTGTGACGAGCTTCATTCATAGAGATCTATCGAAATAACTAACCCTAAATCACCGTTTCCGGAACGACTCCCCCTGTTGACCATCCTATGCTCGGTACTAAAAGATGCTGGGCTGGCTCGTGTGGCAGGTGCTAATATCTATAACGATTGTTGCTGATTTCCAGAAGGAATTGTTTGACAACCAATAAAGCATCGTTGAATAGAACAGGAAGTTTTGTGACGTCATATGCAAGGCCTCTACAGTAACATATATTTGTTTCATTTAGAAGAGGTTTATTCAACCTATTATGAGCAGCTTGTAAATTGTTGCTTTCTTTATCATAGTTTAATATGTTTACATCTATAATTGCACTAGGGTGTTCGGAAATTGTTTCATATGACAGATCTTCTTTGAGGCCTGAAAGTTATAACGTAACTACTTCTTGACTGGCTGCGCTTGTAACGACAGACAATAACTAAGCATGCGCCGTTGCAACGACATTTGCTTGCCCATGAAAGGTCAAATGTTCGCATTTTCTGATTGAAAAATGCCCATTTTAAGAATCACATTAAGCTGAGTCCTTAATGCGAACACTGAATAACTAATAAATCGGCCCGGCATGGCCAGGTGGTTAGGGTGTTCGACTCGCAATCTGCTCGCCCTTTCAGACGTGGGGGCATTATAATGTTACGGTCAATCCCACTATTCGTTGGTAAAAGAGTAGCCCAAAA